GAGGTTGCTCTAGTATGGACTTAGGGATACAAATTATTTCCCTCATTTCTATTCTGGACACAGTTGCATGCATATGAATTCCACAGGTGCATGCTTTTTTATTTAAAAAAATAACAAGGGAAATGGAGTTAGACCTTGGAACAAGTTGTTCCACAGAACTGAGTGAATCATCTCCCTTAATGAGCAGCGTCGGCCGGAGCTACAGCAAACAGAACACGGTCCCATTTATCAATTATTCAAGGGCTTCTGCCTACCAAGGGCATTCATTAATATACTGAGGGCTGATTGGCTCTTTGCTCTATTATTGAGCATCCACTGGGAGGAGACGGACTCGCCTGCCATTCTCACTCAACAGTGGTGTGCATTTCCATGGAAAATAAGGGGCCTGGTCAAGGAGAATTTTCCCCAGAATTTTTCTCTTCTTCACTGAAGACCCAATGCCACGTGCTGGGGACTCCTTTTGTGAGGACCAGGAAGCAGAAGAGGGGTGTGCTCTGTAAGCCTGCATTCCAGGAGCAGTTTCTGCTCAGTCAACCAGTCTTTGTTGACTCTGCAAAGGCCTTGGTCCTCCAAGAGGAGCCTGTGGCATGCATGGGGCGCTCGTTAGAAATGCAGTCTCACCTCCAGCCCAGACCTACTGAATTGGAGTCTGCATCTTAACAAAGCTCGAGAAGTAATTTCAGAAGTGATGGGGCACTGGATGCTGGCATGTCCTAGCCTTTGCCTTCTCAGAGCTGTAGCCTGGAGGTGGGGGAAGGATGGATGTGTTAAAAGAAAACTCACTCCACGAGAGGGGTGCCATGGTAAAGGTGGGTACCCAGTGCTAGACAATAGAAGAGACAGCGGTTAACTCCACTAGGGGTTCTAGGTGCTCTGGAAGGTGATGGTTGCCAGGCAGAGAAAGGAAAGTAGGGTTCCCTGCTTCGCTGCTATCACCCTGCAGCCTAATGTCAGGCCTGAACTGTGGCGAGAGTGTCCTTGCCTCCCTTCTTTGGGGGTCATAAAATCTACTTCCTCCCTTGTTCCCTGAATTATCTAGAAAAACACAAACCAATCCCTTCTCTGCTTAAAACTTCTCATTGCTTACAGGGCAAAGTGCAGGCTTCTTAGTTGGTGCACAAGCCATTTTTGCACACATAACCTCTCTAGGCTATCTCTTGTCATTCTCTTGCCTGTCTCATTTTGCTCCAGTCCTCCAGAACTGCCCATGAGTTCCCTAATATGTCTTTCCACGTTCTCTTGGTGAACTTCTCTTCATCCTTCAAAGCCCTGCTCTAGCATTATACCCTCTGTAAAGCCTTATATGAACTACTCCTGGAGAAAATTAATAATTTCCTACGTTGCTCTACTTTTATACTTTGCATAACTGTTATTTTATATGTTAGATTATACTGTTATTATTTGCTTAATGGGAGTGTCATCTGCAATGGTGGTCGTACATTTATTCTTCGAAGGCAAGAAATGCATTCTTTTGCGTCCCCAGAATGGCACACATACAAAGCTTTCAGTATTGCTATTTGAATTAACTATAATTTGGAAAATTTTGAAACTATGAAGGTGCTGGGTGTGTTGAGAGATCTGTAATTCTTCTGGTCTAGTTTAGGCATGAAATGAGTGAGAGTATGCAGATATAATCTGGAAGGGTGGCTCGACCCTAAGTTTGGAAAGGCCTTTGGTGCTCCGCTAAGGAGTCTGAACTCTTAGAAATCACCAGTGTTATTTACAGCAGGGGAATGATATGATGAGATCTTTGTTTGAATAGCTGGCTAGGGACAGGGGGGGCAGTGGTAAAAACAGGAATTGGTAGCTGGAGAGGCTGCTGTCATAAAGGCCTGAGTAAAGAATGAAGCTGGAGCCGATTCTACTAAGTGAAGTATCACAAGAATGGAAAAACAAGCACCACATGTACTCACCAGCGAATTGGTATTGACTGACCAGCACTTATGTGCACATATGGAAGTAACATTCATCAGGTGTCGGGCAGGTGGGAGGGGTGAGGAGGGGATTTAGCGTGACTTAGACTAGAGAGAATACTTTCCTGCATATAGAGATATCTGGATCGGATGACATCTTCAGGATCCTAACATAGTATACAACCTGTCTGACAGATTCACCTTTATTTTATTTATTTATTTATTTTGCCATAAAAGTGAGAAATGAAGATTCACCTTTAAATGAATGTATTTTACCAGTGGTGTGCTGGTAAAGGCTAAATGACCAGCTGTCCAAGAAAAAATATAATATGCAATATACTTGTGTATACACTTATTATAAATTTTACTGATATTAAGAATTTGTAGCACACAATATACAAATTATAATAAGATATATAATCCTTTTTATGGTAAATTCCATATAGCCAATTGATTCTCATAGAATGCTTTCATTGATTTTTTGCTGAACTCTTAATCTATAGCCAGCCTATGGTTGCAAGTGAACCATGATTTAACAAATGGAGTTGCATCTCAATCCCCTAACTCTCTCTCTCTGAAATTTATTGTCATTACTCTGATATGTAAGCTATTATGTTATTCTATTAAATTATTTCCTACCCTTATAAAATTATAATCATTAAATTTAAATATCTTTTGGCTTTTACTATGCATATCAGAACTCCACTTATTTGTCAATGATGTGAGCAATTTCTTTGTTGAATTGCATTACAGTTTTTGAATACTGGAAGAATTTTTTCTCAGTTTTTGTGTGTATGCTCTTCACAGTGCAATGGCTATTGAATGATGACTTTTAATCTTCATTATTAACATTTAATCTATCATTTTCTTTTTTATTTCAAAATATTAAAGAGGTACAAATAATTTTGTTACACGGATACCTTATATAATGCTAAAATCAAGGCTTTTTGTGTGTCCATCACCAGAATAGTGTTCATTGTACCCAATAGGTAAGTTTTTGTCCCTCACCCTCCCTTCAACTGTCATTTTTTTTCTTGGTTTCCAGTGTTCTTTATATCTCTGTCAGTCACTTTGGGCAGTATGGACATGATATTGTTTCTGCCAATCCATGAGCAATAAATATTTTTTCGTTTGTTTGTATCATCTATGATTTCTTTCATCAGTATTTTGTAGTTCTCCTTGTAGAGATCTTTCACATCCTTGGTTAACTATAGTCCTAGGTATTTTATTTTCTTCGTAGCAATTGTGAATGGTATTGAATCCTTGATATGAGTCTCAGCTTTACTGTTACTAGTATATTATAGAAATTCTATTGATTTGTGTAATGGATTTTGTAACCTGAAACTTTGCTGAATTTATCAATTTTAGGAGTCTTTTGGTGGAGTAGGGTTTTCTCTGCAGGGTTTTCTTGCTATAAGATCAGGTAACCAACACATAGGCATAGTTTGACCTCCTCTTTCTTGATTTGGATGCCCTTTATTTCTTTCTCTTGTCTGATTGTTCTGGCTAGGACTTTTGATATTATGTTGAATAGAAGTGGTGACAGTGGGTACCCTTGTTTTATTCTAGTTCTAGGGGGAATGCTTTCAACTTTTCCCCATTTAGTATGATGTAGGCTGTGGGTTTGTCATATATGGCTTTTATAAATTTAAAGTATATACCTTTTATGCCTAGTTTGTTGAGGATTTTTTATCATGAAAGAGTGCTGGATTTTATTGAATGCTTTTCTGCATCTCTTGAGATGATCATATGGTGTTTGTTTTTGCTTCTGTTTCTGTGTTGAACCACTTTTTGCTGTTGCCTATCTCTGGGTGGCCTCACTGTCTTTTGTTTGGCTTCTCAGCTGTCCTGTCACTTGTTGTAGCAGACACTATTGTGTCGTACCCATATCCTTAGGTATTCATCTTTGCAAGCCAAAGGCCTCTTACAGAAACACCTGAGACTCGCTGCTGGAAGGCTTTGGTTCTGGCCACTGGAGCATGTGCAGCCTGTGTTCAGAGCAAGCTACAGAATGAATGTCCCCAGAAACCGCAGCAACTCAGAAAGACCATTGATAGATGAATGCTCCAGCTTCCTTACCCCTGAGGGAGGGCAACAATTGTGGACTGTGTCCTACACGGGCTTCCAAGGCACCCTGCAGGCTTGAGCTTCAGTTCACAGTGGGAACATGCTTGATAACGTGCCCTTAGATTCACTGGCTGCCTTCCCTTGCCTGTCTCACCACTCTTCTACTTGCATTTCCTGGCATCACTGCTCAGCAAAATTACTTTTACTGGAATTCTTGTCTCTAGGTCTTGTAGTGAATTCAAATAGGAATACCCATGCAACCTATTTCCTGCATTCAGTCCTCTCTGCTTTAAGTACTTGCGTGGTTTCTGTGTTCCTGCTTGGACTCCAACTCCTACACCTCTGGTCTGATGCAGACCCTGGCCGTAGCCTCAACTTCCCACCTTGCTAGGAGTTAGGAGGAGGAAGAGAAGCAGCACAGCAACACTCTATTACATAGCGTTTCCACCACTGTTCCTCATAGCAGCTTCCAAAGGCAGGTCTGAGGCAAACCGTATAAACTGAGAACCCATAAGAAGCAGAGAATCCCCCTTCCCACCATGCGTGGCATCATTTAACAACTCCTCAAGGCTGTTGGAAGGTGTTTGAATCCAGCCTTTTTGATATCACATTCTTTCAATTACTGTTCTATGGTGATTCATTCTTCTAGAAGGCAAGTCTTAATGTCCTAATCTTTTCTTTCTTATGATGAAATATGCCCATTCTAGCTATCTGGTGCATGGGGGCATCTGCCAAAGACAGAGGTGCAAGGAGCTTTATGGTGGGTTTGCCCAGTGCTGGGTTTCTCAAATGGGTGAGCTACTCATGAGTCTATGGTACCAAACAAAAAGTGTTGGAGGGGAATTTATATTTGATATTTCAAAACAAGCATTAAAACAGTCATCATGGGAAGACAAATATGACAGAGTTTGGTTGCCCTTTATCACAAGTTTTTATGTCTTGTGCTTTGTCATAAAGCAAATTTGTTTTATGGCTTAGCACTGTGTTTGTTTTACATGACATCTGTGCATCATGTTGCAGGACCAGCAGATAGACACGCAGCCCTGTGGGAATGATGCCCCTGGAGTTGCGTGATACAGCAGCCCCAGGAGAAGGAGGAAAGAGAAAAATTTTGATGCTGATGGAGTCCATAGATTTCAATATGCTTTTGAGTCTTTAATACACAGAGGAACTAGAAATCAAGAAATTACCAGTGACTGCATAGCAACCCGACTCCTAGGAGGTCAAAGGAAGGAAGGATCTAAAAAAGAAAAGAAGGGAACAAAACCCCAAGGTGTCTCTTAAGGAAACAGGCTTGGTGCGAAGTCCCCAGGAAAATCCCCTGCTTGGAGTGTTTGTCCGGCACAGGAGAGGACGAGGGAGGAGAGGGGTCCTCGGCTCGCATAGCTAACTGCAAGCTGGAGGAAGAGGAAAAGAACATGATTAGCATGTTTCTCTCCTCTCTATGAAGATGGCAGAAGCAGGCAATCTGCTGTTTGTGCAGAAGGGGCACAGGGAAGGAGAGAAGCGTGCATCTGTTCTGAGAAACTGCTGTTTAAAAATGCAAGAAGCCCACAAAGCAAAGGAGGAAATCACCATTGTGCAGGCCACTGGCTCTGCAAACAGGGGAGAAGCGGAGAGGCACAGGCTGAGGAAGCCTCTGAATCCGCGCCCGGGCTGTGGAGTCCCGTGGAGGGCTGGCCCCTCTTACCCTCAGAGCAGAGGCTCTTGGCAGCGGTCTCTAGCTGTGATCTCTGACTAAGGAACATCCTCCATAAGGACAGACACGCCACCTCCTGCTGCAGCCAGCCGTCGTCACCGTACTGCCCTGTGCTGCCCAGTTTTACAATGAATAAGCAAAGCTTCCCAGCCAGAGAATGAGTCACGGTCTCCACCCTCGCACCTCCTCCTCCGTTCTCTGCCCGAGGGGTGATGCTGACTGTTTCTGATGGAAAATAAGGGGAGCCAAGATCTCCAGTGGATGATGTCACTGTGAGCCCCAAAGTCTGAGAGGTCCCCACGCCTCTGGAGGAGTCAGGGAACACATTCAAAAAAGCCAGCCTGACCAAATATCTGAGGCCCTGGAAGTTGGTCTGGCCTCTAGAGCCTCCCTCTTTTGGGGGATGGGGTCAGGAGGAAGGTCCCCTGTCACACACCTCTAGGGGCTTTGGATATGCAAATCCACCACTTAAAAGGCTGCTTGTCAGAACTGATGTAGCCTGACCCCACATCTTGTAGGTACTTTTCTGATGGCATTTCTATTCCACCTTGGTTTATTTGTAGACCGGACTAGACAGTAAGCATGTGTGGACAGCAGTCATCTTTGCATTCCTGGTGTTAGTGAGCCCAATGCTATTCTGATAGTGGGTACTTAATAGTTATTTAAATTGGTGAGTAATTGGCTCTCAGATCTTGCCCCTCTCCCAGTTAACGTAGATCAGCATTGTAAACAGCAACAGAAAATTGAACAATCTTCTTTCCTGAGTCTCAGGGGTCTTTATCCCCCTATTCATATGGAAGAGAGGATCATTTTCAAACCTATTTTCTCATAGCAAAATGAGAGTAATAATAGAACCTTCTCTCAAGGATGTAATGAGGTCAGGCATGTAAAACAGCACCATACCTAATGCTAGCTGTTTTATTGTTATTATTATCATCATCATCATTACTTAGATTGTTAATTCTAAGGTGAAGCATATTTTCTGCAGCTATTCTGTGAGCAGGATGGGAGCCCCTGGCTCTCCCCTATGAAAGAGAGCAGAGCACGGTGCAAGTGTGGCTGGTGTAGAAAGGAGCCCAGTGACAGTCATACCCACACTCCATCGGCTCCCTGGCAGCCATCTCTCCATGCCTAAGCGTTTGCATTTCATAGCCTGTCTGCAAATCCAGTGGTATCCATGCACCCATATCTTTCCCTCTCCTACCGCTCTGGCCAGACATTACCAATTCCTTGAAAGAAGTACCGCCTGCAGCCCCTCCATGGGCTTGGATGGATGCTTCCATCTGCTTTTGGTTTGCTTTTTAGGTCAAGACACTTTATTCTTAGGCTCCAGGCTGGGGAGAGTATTCGCAATGGCAGAGGAGAGACCTACTGGTGTACCTGCATCTGTGAAGCCACATCACCCACAGCAGGCCCTGAGCTGCTTCTCTTGCCTGTGAAGTCCAAGAGACAAGAGGTCAGCCAGCATGACTTTGCTTTATGACCTGCCTTGCAAGAGAGGCCTTCTCTGAACTGCATTTTAATGCTGTGTCCTAGTCTTTTAAAATCAAGGGTTAATGTAATAACATTCATTTAAAGAATGTTTATGTGTCTTCTATATAATCATCACAGACCATAGTATTATTAATTGCTGGTGCTAGTACTCTCAGTCCTGGTGCTAGTACCAATATCTTACATGTGCAATGTGTTCTGTACGTTACCACCCACGTTATCAATGAGGAAAGGTGGTGAGAGGGGTGAAGTGATGCTGTTGATGGAGCTGGGGTCCAGGGCCCCTGGGTTGGAGCTCCATGTCCTGCACTGGCTAGTGTGTTGTTCTAGTTTAATGAACCATACAATAAAGTCCTCTAAGTATAAGAACCAGAAAGAAGTTTTAATCGCTTGCTTTCTTGTATCAGATAATGTTTTCCTTTGGCTTCAGGCTGCCAGGGAGTTCAGAAGCAAATGTCAAGATCAACCACAATCCTACTGGTCTAGGCTTTGGGAATTCAAACTTCCCCAACCATTCTATTTCATTTGATTTTTTTTCTATTTAATGGTCTTATTGTTTGTGCCTTTTATTTTATGCCATTTCAGTCACTTGGGAATAAAAAAGGGAATACATATGAAGAAAGACAAACTTCATCCCAGGGATGCAGGGATGGTTCAACATAGTAAATCTATAAATGCAATTCACCACATAAACAGAAGCAAAAACAAAGACCACATGATTCTTTCAATAGATGCAGAAAAAGCTTTTGACAAAATTCAACACCCTTTTATGATACGAACACTTAAGAAAATAGGCATAGAAGGGACATACCTAAAAATGATACAATCCATATATGACAGACCCATAGCCAACATCATACTGAATGGGGAAAAATTAAAATCATTCCCACTTAGAACTGGAACCAGACAAGGCTGCCCACTATCTCCACTTCTGTTCAACATAGTGCTGGAAGTCTTGGCTACAGCAATCAGACAGGAAAATGGAATCAAAGGTATCCAAATAGGGGCAGAAGAGATCAAACTTTCACTGTTTGCTGATGATATGATATTGTATCTAGAAACCCAAAGATTCAACCAAGAAACTCCTGGAACTGATCAATGAATTTAGTAAAGTCTCAGGATACAAAATCAATACACAGAAATCAGAGGCATTCATATACGCCAACAACAATCTCAATTGAGAACCAAATCAAAGACTCAATTCCCTTCACAATAGCAACAAAGAAATTAAAGTACCTAGAATATACTTAACCAAGGAGTAAAAGACCTCTACAGGGAGAACTATGAAACAATGAGGAAGGAAATAGCAGAGGATGTAAACAGATGGAAATCCATACCATGCTCGTGGATCGGCAGACTCAATATCATCAAAATGTCTATACTACCCAAACTGATCTACAGATTCATGCAATACCTATTAAAATCCCATCAGCATTCTTCACAGATATAGAAAAAATAATTTTACGCTTCGTATGGAACCAAAGAAGACCCGAATATCAAGAGCAATTCTAGGCAACAAAAACAAAATGGGAGGCATTAATATGCCAGATATCAAACTATACTACAAAGCTGTAGTAATTAAATCAATATAGTATTGGCACAAAAATAGGAATATTGACCAGTGGAACAGATGTGAGAATCCTGATATAAAACCATCCTCATATAGCCATCTAATCTTCGACAAAGCAGACAAAAACATACGCTGGGGAAAAGAATCCCTTTTCAATAAATGGTGCTGGGAAAACTGGATAGCCACCTGTAGAAGGCTAAAACAGGACCCACACCTTTCACCTCTCACAAAAACCAACTCACGCTGGATAACAGACTTAAACCTAATGTATGAAACTATTAGAACTCTAGAGGAAAAAGTTGGAAACACTCTCCTAGACATCGGCCTGGGCAAAGAGTTTATGAAGAAGTCCCCAAAGGCAATCACAGCAGCAACAAAAACAAATAAATGGGACATGATCAAACTACAAAGCTTCTGCACAGCCAAAGAAATAGTCATGAAAGTAAACAGACAACCTACAGAATGGAGAAAATTTTTGCATCCTATGCATCCGATAAGGGACTGATAACTAGAATATACTTAGAACTCACGAAAATTAGAAGAAAAAAATCAAATAACCCCATTAAAAAGTGGGCAAAGGACTTGAACAGAAACTTTTCTAAAGAAGACAGAAGAATGGCCAACAAACATATGAAAAAATGCTCCACATCTCTAATCATCAGGGAAATGCAAATCAAAACCACAATGAGATATCACTTAACTCCAGTGAGAATGGCCTTTATCAAAAAATCTCCAAACAATAAATGCTGGCGTGGTTGCGGAGAGAGAGGAACACTCCTACACTGCTGGTGGGACTGCAAACTAGTTCAAACCTCTGTGGAAAGCAATATGGAGATACCTTAAAGCGATACAAGTGAATCTACCATTTGACCAGCAATCCCATTGCTGGGCATCTACCCAAATGATCCAATGACACTCTACAAAAAAGACACCTGCACTCGAATGTTTATAGCAGCACAATTCATAATTGCAAGGCTGTGGAAACAGCCCAAGTGCCCATCCATCCAAAAATGGATTAATAAAATGTGGTATATGTATACCATGGAGTACTATTCAGCTCTAAGAAACAATGGTGATATAGCACATCTTATATTTTCCTGGTTAGAGCTGGAACCCATACTACTAAGTGAAGTATCCCAAGAATGGAAAAACAAGCACCAGATATATTCCAGCAAACTGGTATTAACTGAGTAGCACCTAAGTGGACACATAGGTCTACAGTAATAGGGTATTGGGCAGGTGGGAGGGGAGGGGCGGTATATACATACATAATGAGTGAGATGTGCACCATGTGGGGATGGTCATGATGGAGATCAGACTTTTGGGGGGAGGGGGAATGGGCATTTATTGAAACCTTAAAATCTGTACCCCCATAATATGCCGAAATAAAAAAAAAAAAAAAAAGAAAGACAAACTGATCCAGCTGCCATTTCAGTGGCGCTGTGCTGCTATTACCCAGAACTTCTCTTTTGTGCTAGATGTTTTATTGTTCTGCTTTCTTGGGGAAGAAAGACCTATTCAGGGTAAGGTTGCCAGATAAAGTATAGAATGTCTATTTAAATTTAAATTTTAGATAAATAATGAATAGTTTTTAGTATATAAATATGTCCCAAATATACTAATTTTTATACTAAAAATTATTCACTGTTTATCTGAAATTAAAATGTAACTAGATATTCTGTATTTTATCTGCTAAATCTGGCAAGCCTAATTTATAGCCACAAAGATTCTAGATATGTGTTACTTGTTTTTGCACCTATGCATAGAACCTGGCTAAGGACAAATGTACAAAATTAAAACAAGTATATAATAATAATTTAAAACCCAGAAGATGAACTACACACCTTTAAAAGTCACATTCTGAATGGCCAAACGTTGGAAGCAGTTAGTTCTCTGGCCAGAGTTCATTGTCTGTGTCCTGGGGAGCCATGCTCTACTGGGGCCTGGGACTGATGCTTGAAGACCACCTGGACCTGCCTGTGGTTTCCCAGGGGCTGCTGAGCAAGCACTTGACTGCACCTACCTCTCCAGAGTAAATCAATACATGTTTTGGCCAGTTTTCCCAGCCTTTGATCTAGAAATATTTAAATGGCAATGTTAAATCTCATTTTCCCAGATGCCACATTAACTTTGATACTCACATTTCACTGAGTCCCTGAGTCCTGCCTTCTCACTCCCACCTCCATGTAAAAAGAGGCCAAATTCCCTTTCTGTCCCAATAAACAATGCGTGCCAGTTATTTCCGGGATCCCCGGGGACATGTTAGATGAGCTCCCAGAGTCCTCTCCTTGGAGTCTGCGGCCCTCACTCATATGAGGGTGTCTTGCCACTGCAGCACACCAGCGAGTCAACTGAGCGTGCTGCTGGCTGCCTCTCTCATGGGCCTCCAAGCCTCCAACTTCCATGTCTCCTCCACCTTCAGTACCTGGCTGTGCTACAGGCTGAAAAGGAGAGCACACTCACTCCTGACCCGTCACACTGCTAACACATGGGGCCCAAAGCAGCTCTGCTTGGGCCTCCCACGAGCCATAGAGCTTTGGGACAACAGCTCCTTCTGCCTTTTCCCGAAGGTCCTCTCTCAAATGACTCATCCTTTGGGCCCAGCATAGGGTAGATACCTCATTCCTGCTTCCTTTCCACCAAAAAGTAGAGCACACAAGTTTTCTCCCAACAGCAATAAAAGCCCTCCTGCAAATTAGCTTATGATGTAGACTGGTCTAGAAGCTTTTCCAGCGGTTTGCTAAACATGCTTAAACTTGCAACCCATGGGGAGCAGATTCTAATGCTCATACTGCATCCTTGTGGCACAATCAGTTCTGATTGTGTAGGTAGCCTGGGAGAAGGCCATGGTTTTGATCCTACTCTCCTTTGGTCTGTGTTCCAAGGACGCTGGTGAAGAAGGGCTTTTGGCTGCCAGACAGATGCCCATAGCCCTTCTCTTTGATGCTTTTAGGGTTAGGAAGTCCAGATTTTTCAAGTTTCCCCCAAGCAGACCAGTAGCCAACAACCTGAGCTGCTGTAGAAGGGATCAGTGTTCAGGAGCAAAGGGTTCCTCTGAGTTCAGGGTGTTTGCTCCCTGCTGAAGACAAAGAATTAGTAGCTAAGATAAATCTTTGTAGGGCGCCTTACAATGGTTTCTCTTTTCCCTCCTGCACTGTCCTGCCTCCCCTCTCGTACGAGTGATGGATGCTGCTGCCTGCAGAGCACTCAGAAACTCCCGTCCCCGTGTGCCAGTGCTTCGCTTCAGCACTGGGACCTGGCCCGACTCTGCCTGGCGGATGCCCCTGGGTGTCTTTGTTCCATGTGAGCTTCTGATCTAACGGCACCGAAAGACTGAAAGGGACAGCCATGTGACACATTTCTCCTTCCTAAGGAAGGTGCCTCTGACTTTCTCAGTATGGTTTGCTTGAATGAACCTGAAGCCTCAATAATTACACATGTATGTCCCAACTCCTAGGCTGGAAGCCCCTGAGGACAGGTTCCCCCCCAAATCAGAGCCTGATTCTGGTGCAAGTAGTTTATTTAGAAAATGATCTCAAGAAGCACAATGAGGAAGTAAAGAAGTAGGACAGGGAATGGAGGAGGGACGATAAAGGAAGCATTAATGATGTTTCTGCTGCGGGTTCTAGAGCTGGGGCTCAGCTCTGCCCGGGAGCCCTGGACAGTCTGGGAAGAGCACACTTCACACTGTCCCGCCGAAGGGCAAGGAAGCCGGGCATTTACCCCCCAGCTCCCTCCTCTCCTGGGCTGCGGGACACTCCTGTGCACGGGACACACACGCTATGCCAGAGAACAC